GTTGTGTCACATGAATCGTCATCATTTAACACGCGTTGGAACAGACATACTTCGTATACCTCATGTAAAATAAAGGGACATTTTCTAAATTGTAATGCCTGCAGTTTTTTGGTCAATTTTGTGTTTTTTTTTTTTTTTTCTCTTATTTTAGACAGGTCTCGTTAGGCAGTTTAGGCTGGCCTTGAACTCACTTTGTAGTCCCGGCTGGCCTCAAACTTGCGGTGATTCTTCTGCCTCAGCCTCCAAAGTTCTGGGATTACAGGTATGTGCCATCATGCCCTGCCTGTCATTTTTAACTATTATCATTTTTTGTCACTCATAACTCTTCAGATAGTGCTTGATTTAATGGAAGCTTTGTGAAGCCCACCTGTAGGAGGTTGGGAGTCCGTGCAGAATTCGTGGGCTACAGCCACGCACAGCTGTTCCCAATGCACAAATTGGCTGCATGCATGATAAGCGCTTGTTTCAGGAGAGCTTTTCAGGTGGACCTGAGAGATTGGGGCCGATGGTGCGCCAGGAAATGGAGTCAGGCCAGGGATTTAGCTCAGCTGCACAGCGCCTGCCTAGCAAGCGCAAGGTTGTTTGATTCCCAGTACCAGGAAACAACAACAACAACAAAAACCCCAGTAATTAAAAAAAAAAAAAAAGTCTCAAGCAACTCAGGCTGGAATTCAGGGCTTAAAGAGTTAAGACGGCTCGAGAGATAGCTCAGAGGTCTAAAGTGCCTGCTTAGACAAGTTTAGGCAAGCACAGGGACCTGTTCCATCCCCGATCCCCAGCATCACGCGCGCTGTGCCAGCTCTGCCCCAGGGTGGGCTGAGCGCCCCTCCCCCTCCAAAAAAAAGTTAAGACGATGTTCTAGAAGATGACATGACTGCATATTTTTTTGGGAAACTGTATTTACTCAGTCTATGGGGTTCATCTGTGCCAGGTTCATGGGAGCAGGGGGCGTGCCGGTTGGGCATTGGTCCCTGTCCCCAAGCAGCTGCCAGTCTAGAGGGAGACCCGAGAGAAGTAGCTGTGATATAGCAGTGTTCTGCTGTGTGCTGGTCTCAGGATACTGGACGGGGCAGTGCTGCCTTGGGAAGTGTTGGGAAGACTTGGGTGTGTGCACACACCTGTAATCCCTTCCCTCAGGTAGCTGAGGCAAGAGGATAGAAGTGAGTTCAGACCCAGCTTGGGCTACCCAGGGAGAGCAAGGCCAGCCTGGAATATATAGCGATACTCTGTTTCATAAAACAATCGCCAAAAAAAGGTGTTGTCAAGGGTTGAGGATCACGTTAAACTTGGTGTCCACTATTCAGGAAGCTGGGCCGGTGGGGAGCAGGAAGTTGCCGCAGCAGTGAGCCGGCTCCTGCGGGTTCTGCCAGCTGAGCCTATGTGGAGCTGGGGCTGCACCTCCCTGCTGACTCCCCCGGCTGCAGGCAGGGATCGCCGCGTGTGATTGGAGGGTTTCTGCGGTCGGGATGATGAACTTGGTAGTGTCGGCGCATCGGATTGGTTGGGCCCTGCTGCAGTGAGAATGCAGGCTGGATGCTGTGCGCTGCGCTGGATGATGAGCGAGGACAGCTGAATGACTGGGAGCTCCCAAGTTGCGTCTGCCTCTGTAGAGGTCTGCTTGGATATCGCTTTTTGCTTTAAAAAACAAAAAGTCAAACCTTTGCTTCCCGGCCACCTGCTGAAGTGTGTTTTCTGAAGAGCCCTGAAGACTCTTTATTACCCGCAGCCAGACACAGTCAGAGCCAGGTACTTCTCAGGCCAGGCACGACGGCAGCGTGAGCGAATTTGAAGCAATAGGAAAGAGCCCTTGTATGCGACGCTCCCAGCCTGAGCGTTCCCCAAGCCGGTTGGCCAGGCAACTGTGCGGGCAGAAACCCTTGGGACTGTGGTCACATTCCTCCGAAGCCAGCAGCCACCACTGGAGGCATTGGGAGGACCCCGGGATGCTGCAGGTGCTGGGGCATTTTCTGTCTGGCTTCCTCCCCAGAGCTGGGTGCCAGGGCACCAGAGAGGGCTCGGATCACGGAGTCAGAGGCACCCAGGGAGAACAGATGTCAAGCTTTTTGGGCAAACAGGATGGAAGGGCTGAAGTCCCGGAAAAGAGACCCACCATCTTGCTGGTGGTTGGACCGGCAGAGCAGTTTCCTAAGGTAACAGCGCGGAGGGGCCGGAGTGGGATCGGTTTCTTCCCTGGAGGAAAAAAGCTAAGGTGGGAAGAAAGGGAGGAATTACTTTAAAAAATCATTTTGGTAGTGGGGGTCAGAGATGTGTCAAGCAGTGAACAGGAGCCCACAGATTTAGCCCGAATCCCCCAAGGCCACTGAGAAAGCTTTCTTTTCTTACCCCGAGGGACTGCGCAGTGCCACAGAGGGGAAAGGAAAGGCAACTTCAATAGATTTGCCTTAGGGTTTGTCAGTTTGCTGGCTCAAAGCCATTTGAAAGTAAAGGACAAACTAAAGCAAAGTGATGGCTTATCTGAGCTATCCAGAGAACCCAGGTCCAGAGGGCAATGGAGTACACCATGGAGGTCCAATCTAGTGTCCCAGAGCTGGGGACAGTATTTGTGGGTATAGTGAAGGTCACACTCCCCTTGCCTCGGTGGGACACTCTTTACTTTTAGGTCCCAGGGGAAGAGTCTGAGGGGATGGGGTTGGGTTCCCAGAGAGGATAGAGTCCTACTCAGGGTCAGCTGAGTGCCAGGGCTCTTTGTCCCTGGTGACCCCCAAGCATGGCTGTCACATCCGGGCCTCACAGGAGCCAAGGTGAGTTATAGTACTTCCGTTTTGTAGATGAGGAGCCTGAGGTACAGAAAGGGTCAGGACTTTGCTCAGGTAATTGAGGGCAGCTGAGATCAAACCCTCGGTCAGGCTGGAATGTTTCCACTCCAGCCTCCATGCCTGTAAGACCGCTGGTTGAACCGGACTCGTTGCGTTCTGGGTAGATCACTTCCTGAGCTTTGGTTATTTCAAATCTTTTCTCCTCGCTCAGTCAGAAGAGGGTCAGAGATTCTATCTGTCCTGGTTTTGGTACACTCAAGGTGCCCCAGGTGTAACGCCTACATTTAAGAAATAAACGAGCACCTATTTACTAGAGAGCGATTTTTACTGTGACAACTTTAGCAGCTCAGTGGGTGTTGACATTGTTCGTGTCCATCAGGGTCTCTGTCATATCTGAGAATCTGACATAGGTGTGCTTAACGTGCTTTGAGTGTCACTTTCACTTGTTTGAGTGTCACTTTCACCTGTTTTAGACACCGTCAGAAGTGGCAGTGGGGCTAGTTTTAATGAGGAAGTTCTGTCTACAGCCCAGCTTACTTACAGCCCTGATGGATTAGCTGGCAGCCTTTACAAAAAAAAAAAAAAAAAAAAAAAAAAAACTTAAAAAAACCCTTAATAATTAACTGCTCCATTTACCAGGCTTACACGGACCCCCCTTTGCCAGCTCCCCTCAAGGGTGGCCTTGAATGGGACTTTCTGTTCCGAACAGTCTAGTTCCTGGCCTGCGGAACCCAGGGACCCGCACCTCCTCCTGGCTCGGTTCCCCCAGGGCCATCGCTTAGCTCCTTGCGTGGGGCGCAGGACGCGCAGAGGCAGTGGAGCAGCGGGGTTGGTTTGAAGGCTAGAGAGCGCCCAGGTGGGCAGGTAGACCCCTTGAAAAGGGTAAAGGGAGCGTGGAGCATTCGGAGCATTTGCGCCGCGTGAGCGCCTGCCTGGGAGATCCTGTCCCCGAGGCTGGTGTGCCCCCCTCTCTCAGCAAGAGGCCTCCGGAGTTCTTGGACGCGGGAGGGAGAAGTTCCGGACTTCTCAGGCTCTTTGGTGGTAGCAGCCCTACTTCATTTCGTTCTGTCGCAGTTCCCCCGGGTAAGCGTGTCTCTCTGTGAGCCGGGTTCCCAGAGGCTTTTCTTCTAGGAACCGTGCCAGTTTTGCCCTTTATCTTTGGCTTCCAGCTAATCCGCAGCAGGGAAGGGAGCCATTTAGCCCGGGGTGGGAGGGGCCCTCGTGGCGCAGGAGCTTGCTGATCCTGAGGGGCTGTCGTCCTGGAAGCTCCGAGCGTTTCGCTCATTATGTGTGTACTGTAATTGCCAAGTGTAGGCAGGTCTCGTTGGAAACCGGCTGTACTGGGCTGTCATGGTAACCTGGTCATCAAATGACGCTGCTGCCACAGCAGCCAATGAGAGTGGAGAGCCTTCGGGGTGGGTGGGGCTTGCCAGGCCTCTTGGCCGACTAATGTTTCTGGCTGGCTTTGAGTCAGTCATGGGGTGGGGGTGCGAGTTCTCACCTAATGCTGCGGCTTCCGAAGAGATCGGCCCTCCCTGTTCTTACTCATTGTATTCCGGCCCTAACAGGAAGTACCTGCTGGGAGGGGTGTGGTAGGATAAGGAAAGCTGATCTGCCTGCAAGGGGTGAAGAGATGCTCGTGGGAGGACCTGTTCCTTCACAGGTGAAAAAAGTCTGATGCCACTAAATTCGGAGGGGTAGTGACCTGTAATTGTTTGTGAATGCTAGGCACAGGCAATGGACGTCAGAGGAGCGGAAACAAATAGACCTGGGTAGCAATAAAGAGAGCAGAGGAGATCATAGGCAGTGTGGAGCCACGCGCTGGGTACCACGTCAGGATTGGAACCTAAGCGCGTGCTTGGTGCCCCTGCATTGTGTCCTTGTGGACGGGTCAGAAGCTGTGACCCAGAGGTGGTGCTTGTGTTTAGCTAAGGCCCAGGTTACACTTTCCCGCATCCCTCCTCCCTCCAGTGGGAGGCGTAGCTGCTCCTTTGGGAACCTGACTCTGCAGTCTCCTAGTGGCAGCATTGGTTTTGGGTGCTAAATTTTAAGTGAATTTTTTCCCCCTTCGGAACCGGGGATTGAAGTCCAGCCCTTGCGCTTGCCAGGCAAGCGCTTATTCTACTGAGCCATCTCCCTTGTCACAGGAGCCCAGCCTCGGTGTGAGCCTGAGCCTGGCCATCTCCAGGCTCTGTGAAGGGCTCAGAGTTAAAGGGTGTGCTGACTGCTCGGACTGCCCTGAGCCCCACTATATTGAGGCCCCAGGGTGATGCAATCGCCTGGGACTCTAGGTGCCTGGAGAGGGCGTCTGGGAAGCAACCCCAGTTCCTTGTGGAGGTGGAGTTCTGAATATCCTGGGAAAGGTGGGGGGTGCAGAGTTTCAATAAGCAAACATCAGTTTAGTTTCACCCAGTGACGACATTCTGTGGATCTCAGTCACAGTGGCAAAAACAAAAACCAAAACACAAATGTGGGACTAGGATTGATGTTAGCATTGTAAGATAATGTGTTGATGGGCACATGCTGAACATTTTGGAGAACTTTTCCAGGATTCCCGAAACTGCTGGACAGATTAAGAAGTATTGTTATGGTCCGGAACAGTTCATTTTTTCTTTTGTAAGAAAACAGTTGTGCCTATTTGGTAATACTTAGTACTTTCCCTTTGCAATAGAGAGCATAGATTTTATCCATTCTTTCTCTTGTCTCTTTTTGAGGCAATGTCCCACAGTGTGGTCCAGGTTGGCTTTGAACTCTTGGTGATCTTCCTGCCTCAGCTGTCCAAGTGCAGGGACTTTAGGCATGTATCATCATGCCTGGCCTGATTTCGCTATTATTGTTTTCAAATCTCTTCCCAAATTTGTTTTATATGTATACCATAAACTTCAATGGTACAATTATGCTTAATAAAATTGTGTACAATGCTTTTGTCAGGAAATGAACATCTCAAGTTAAGCAACTTATCCAGGCAAAATGTTGCCATTTTATATTGGAATAAATGCGGTCTTCCTTAAAATGGATCTGTGTCACCTTTTTTTTTTTTTTTTTTGATGCAATTTGGGATTGAACTTGGGGCCTTGAGCTTGCCAGGTAGGCATTTATGTCGCTGAGTTATCTCCCAGGCCCACTGTGTTACTTTAAAAAAAAAAATCTTTATTTGGTACAGGGTCTTGCTATGCAGCTCAGATTCATAGTGCTTCTTCTGTCTCAGCCTCCCCAGTGCTGGGATTATAGGCATGTGCCACTACATCTGGGTTTGGTGGCAGGCAGGGCACGCCTGGGGTTTGGGGGTTAGCACAGTATGTGGTACCAGAGATCAAGCCCACATCCTTGTGCTTGCTGGTCAGGTGTTTAGACAGCTGAGCTATCTTCCCAGCCCCCACTGTGTAACTTTTTAGAAAAATTATTTTACAAAAAAAGGGGATACAGGGCCGGGGAGATGGCTCAGTGGAATAATCGCTTCCCTGGCAAGTGCAAGGGCCTGAGTTCAATCCCCGGTTCCGCAAAA